AGACCCGTGAAGACGAACTCACTTGTTATTAACTCGTGTGGAACGGCAGTAGCTGTTGCTAAGGGAAGGTAGAGGACTGACTAGGATGGGGCCAGGATCAGCTGCTAACGCAGGGGCTACTATATCCTGTCCCCTGTTTTGTCCTTCCGTGGGGAGTTGCATCTCCCGCACTTTTGTGTGGGCATCAGCCCGCCCTACCGTTTGTACTTTCCTACACTTTCAAATCCCATAACACTAGCCCACCCTGGAGGTTCTCATACGCAGATACGTAAATCCCGGAACTTGACAATTACTTGTCAAATCCCAAATGAGAGTATCGAGGATGCGGGGCTCCAAAAGACCACATACCCTCCCGCACCTCTCACTCGATGAGTCGCAAGACCATCGTGTGACCTATAAAAAGAAGGTACAGGAAGTAATAAACTGGGGCTAACCGAGAGGAATCCAACGGGAGAGCCGCAACAGGCGAAGGCTACAAATACCATAACAGGTCAGGACCCAAAAGAAAGGGGGAAAAGAGGACACGAAAGAAACGAACAAAATTAGCGTCGCCAGAGCGACGGAAAAGGAACGGTGAAAGAAAACGGCCTGTATCGACAAAACGATAAGATACGCAAAATAATCACCACGGTAGCGTGGGAGCGACAACAAAGGTCACGAAACACCTTCAGCCCGCAAACTCTAAGAAGTAGAGACAAAAACATACGAAAAAGTAACAAAGCATCACAACGTACCAAAACGGCCGGAAACCAAACGTTTCGGAAGCGAAACCAAGAAGTAGAGGGGTTGGACACTAAACAACAGCTGGCAAAACCGCGGCAGGGAAAAGAGAAAGCTCGACCTGGCGGACTATTGAAGCTAAAAGAAAGAAAACGAGAAAACGAAAACAAATAGTGCTATTGCAAGAGCAACAGAAGGCAAAAAAACAACCAAGCATGCCATCTTAATGTGGGCGCGCGACGTCATCAGACAACGAATCGGTCACAACGTCGCCACGTGACATGTCGATGTTGCGAAGAACACCCTTGAATAGGGCGCTGCCGCTGTGTACCTGGAGGCACCAGGATCCGGAGACGGCGGTTTCGACGGTAGAGTAGCGAATATCGGGAAGCGCGAGCTTGACAGGTCTAGGATCGTCCAAGAAGCGGACGACGTAGAAGGCTGACGGCAGAGGAGGTGGTCCAGAAATCTTGCCCAACCACCAGAGTCCATCTTGTGTCTTGTACCAGAAGGCGCCCACCGGTAGAGGAGTGTTGGCGAAGCGACGGTCCTTTGTTGTATGGGAAACAAGCGAGTAGCCCGAAGGCAAAGCTCGCGCACCTTGAGCACACGCCAATTCCCTGGTAGCGTCTCCAATGCGCATCGCACGTTAACGGCGATTTGTTTGGCGATGTTGGTCAGGCGAACCTACCCAGTACCGGAGAATGTGCGGCTTGGAATGCTGCAGGTCCATCTCACGCTCCCAAGGAGGGCGCAGAAGGCCCTGCCAGTGTGTCTGATATATAACAGCTATCGTGCCCCCACGGCCACGGACGGACTGGTGGCCACTAATGCGTTCAACCTGTAAACGTTCAACCAGAGCGGCGACACGTCGTCTTCCGTAACATGGTACGGAGGAGATTTGTTCGCATAAGAGTTCAGGACATACGGAGTAAGACCAGCAGGCAGAAAGCGCGGTAGATCATCGGTTTCATGCGGGTTGGCGCACGGCTTGCAACGCACGACCGAAACAGGAGGTTTCGAGTCTTGGCCCGGCAGGTCNTCTCCAATGCGCATCGCACGTTAACGGCGATTTGTTTGGCGATGTTGGTCAGGCGAACCTACCCAGTACCGGAGAATGTGCGGCTTGGAATGCTGCAGGTCCATCTCACGCTCCCAAGGAGGGCGCAGAAGGCCCTGCCAGTGTGTCTGATATATAACAGCTATCGTGCCCCCACGGCCACGGACGGACTGGTGGCCACTAATGCGTTCAACCTGTAAACGTTCAACCAGAGCGGCGACACGTCGTCTTCCGTAACATGGTACGGAGGAGATTTGTTCGCATAAGAGTTCAGGACATACGGAGTAAGACCAGCAGGCAGAAAGCGCGGTAGATCATCGGTTTCATGCGGGTTGGCGCACGGCTTGCAACGCACGACCGAAACAGGAGGTTTCGAGTCTTGGCCCGGCAGGTCCGAAGGAAGATCCAAGTAAAGCAACTTGGAAGCCAAAGGACGACTGTCAGGGCTGTTAGAACACGGGCCCACAGCCAAGATATTGAAGGGGCCAGTCCAGAGCAGAGATAGCTTGGCTTTGAGAACCTTATCATCTGTGCCTGGACCAACGTCTTGTCGAATCGTAGATTCGGAGTTGTACACCCAAACCCATCCACCAACAGTGTAAGAAGGAAGCTAATGGAAAGCGTCCGATAGAGTGGAATTACGCCGCTCAATCCGCGAAACGGACAGGTTATGCTGTTCACGCACCAAGTCGTAAGAACGACGTTGGCGATCAGCAGCAAGATCTCAATATTCGAGTTGATCACGATGCAAGCTTTGGTGGCCACGAGCGTAAGAACAGTCATCGGTAAACGAGGCAAGCGATTCATGTGCACCTCATTGGGCGTTAGACCGGTAGCGGCGCTAACGGAATTGTTGTAAGCAAACGCGACGTGTGGGAGATGAATGTCCCAATCATCTTGTCGTTCGTTGACAACCGTAGCCAACATCTGAGCCATAGTGTGATTGACGCGCTCCACACCCCCATTTCCGTTGGGATGGTAAGGAGCTAGGAGCCACATTGCGGATAGCAAGACGGGCATACACGGCTTGGGACAGTTTAGAGCAAAACTGAGAGCCATTGTCAGACAAAAGACTCAACGGGCAGCCCCACCAAGGGATATACCCGTTGACAAGGATGTCAGCGGTGCCTTCGGCGATGAATTCTGCAGCCGTAACCGCGTACATATCAGCACGGCGGCTGAAACGGTCTGTAAAGAGCAGAATGTGTCTGTTGCCACGCGGTGTCAACGGAAGTGGACCAAAATAGTCAACATTCACCGACACACCAGGGCCCGAAGGCAAAGGAAGGGACATGGTAGGCCACCGAGGAGTCTGACGTGACGATTTACGAGCTTGGCATCGCAAACAATGCCGCACCCACCATTTCGTACAAACACACATGCAAATCCACCGATAGAAACGTTCCAGCACGCTAAGCGTGCGAGCCGAACCGAGGTGACAGGACGCATCAGCGTGGCAGACTTGCATGATCCACGGACGCATGAGCATGGGAACATAAATCCGAATGGGTTCATCGTTAAGAAGGCGAGCAGCACGTCCGCCAGGACGCGTGGTCGTGGACAATGGGGTCGCTGTTTGCTTGCGAACAAGCAAGACCAAACCATCATCGTCAACATGCAACCGGCCTTTGTTAGACAGGTCACGCATCTCCGAAGAGAGGGTCGACGAGCGGACGGAACACGGTCCAAGAAATCCGAAAGGAGGGCCGGAGGCCGACCCAGAAGGATGAAACGAATTGCTGCATCACACACAGGCTCGTTGCGTCGCTCGCGAGCCCAATCAGTATGCGAGAAACGTTCNCTGTTAGACAGGTCACAAATCTCCGAAAGCGAGGGTCGACGAGCGGACGGAACACGTCCAAGAAATCCGAAGGGAGGACCGAAGGCCGACCCAGAAGGATGAAACGAATGGCTGCATCACACACAGGTTCGTTACGTTGCTCGCGAGCCAAATCAGCATGCGAGCAACGTTCGACGGACGCCCGGAAGGCTATATCCGCCGAAGAATGCAAAGCTGCCTCGATAGAAGAGGGGACTGATTCGCGAGGCGCCGACTGCAACCCATCCGAGGATAGAGTAGCAATGGAAGCCGAAGGCGAACGCGCGCGAGCGGTTGACACCAAACGCGACAAGGACTCCGAAGAGCCGGGGGCTGCAGATGGCTGCAAAGCAGGAACAACCTCAGTTGTGGTAGGCGTCGGAGACGCAGTCTCCACTCCATGAGCCAGAGGCGCAGAGGGAGTCGAAGATAAACCACCAGCACCAGTAGTCGAAACCCAACTGGGCAAGGCTGGTGTCATCGACGGCGCCTTCGTCGCCGTCGGAGACCGCCGAAACGGTCGAGGGGGAGCGGAAATCCGCGCGGGAGACAAAGAAGGCTCATCGTCAGAGAAACCATGATCAACAGACGGGAGTGGCGTGCCTGCCACAGCTGCCTTGCGACGACGAGCCTTGGTGGAGATCAGTTGGGTGAGGTCGAGGGTCCGACGCGGGTTTCCAAGGGCCGGAACGGCAGACGGAGGCTCGGGCTCGAGAGCCAAAATATCATCGAAAGACTGAGGTAGGGAACCGGACCAAACGATGGGAGGTCGATTGCGCAATCGTAACCGTGCCGAACGGCGGAACATCTCGGACGGCAAGGGAGCGATCTTGGGCGGCAAGGAAGCGACGTTCCAAACGCCCGATGAAGACGAGAGGCCTGATGGCGGTAGACGCGGACGGTGCCGACGGAAATAAGCGAAGTCAGCCGTATAGGGGGCAAGCCCACCCAAGACCAAAGTCTGGGAATTAGGAACTAGCCCACCCAAGCCAATACCCGCGGCCCGATCACCGGAAGGGGTCAGGCCACACGAACGGATGAAAAACACCGCCTCTTCATCCTCAGCCGGGGTCAGTCGGCTGCGACCCGAGCGGTCACATTCAGCCGCAGCGACTGGGAGGCGTGAGAGGAAATCAGCGTTTCCATTTGCGGAACCCTTGCGATACTCGAGGGTGTTATTGTAGGCGGTAAGAATTTCCAGCCAGCGCTGAACGCGGGCATTCTTCTCCCCCACCTTAGCAAAATGCTCGAGAGATTTGTGGTCGGAAAAAATGCGAAATTTCGTACCCCACAAGTAACCGCGAAGGCGCTTGATACACCACACGATGCTCCCCGCCTCGAGATTGAGGGGAGTCCAGTGGCGTTCTGAGTCCAAAGTAGCCCGACTGATGAAGACAATTGGGAGAATGGAACCATGTGGCTGTTCTTGTTCGAGAGTCCCACCACACTCATCGCGACTAGCATCACAGTAAAGATGACAAGGTCGCGAGCCGTCTGAAGCGGCATCCTAATCTGGATAAACCAAAACAGGGGGATTGGCCAACTCAGCTAGTAAAACGCGAACGGCTTGCTCCATGGAAGGGGTGAAGGTAAACTTCTTCTGCTTCTTGAGTAGAGTAGTCAGAGGTCGAATGCGTTTAGCCATGGTGGGGAGGAACTTACGGTAGTAGCTGAGACCACCGAGAAGGCGGCGTAGTTGCTTGACATCCCTAGGCATAGGCATTTTGGTGAGGGCCGAAACCTTGGCACCGTTAGGCCTAACGCCGTCAGGGGAGATGGTGTGTCCCAGGAAGTCCGCTTCAGTAGCGCCAATAGTAGCTTTCGGAGGCGTGAGTTTCAAGTTGTGCGTACGCAAGCGTTCAAAGCATGCGCGCATGGTACCAACATGAGTAGCAGGGGTGTCATCAAAGACGATCAAATCATCCAAGTACTATGCAACACCGCGGAGATTTTTGATGACTTCGTTGACAACTTTGCAAAACCACCCAGGGGCAGCCGAACTGCCTTGAGGCATATTCAACCACTCGAAAAGCCCGGAAGATGTCACGAATGCCGTCAAAGGGATTGTATCGCGGTGCACCGTGATTTGGCGGAACGAAGATTTCATATCGAAAAGGGAATAAATTCGCCCTTTCAACAACTTGTCCAAAGTATCATCAACTCGAGGAATCGGAAGCTGGCTCAAAGCACAAAGCTTATGGAGCTTGCGATAATTGACGGTGTTGCGAACACCACCAGATTTCTTCGGTATGACTACCAAAGGGCTCGAGTAAGGCGAGGTCGAATGTTGGATCAAACCTGCCGCAAGATACTGGTCAAGGATCGCATCAACTTGTTTCGCCACCGGGGGATTGACGCGGTAGGGGCGAGATTTGACGGGTGCGCTGCCAAGAGGAACTGTAAGCTTAAAAGGAAAAAACGAACAAGATCCACAGTCGATCGGAGAACTCGAAAACACATCATGGTATTCGCACAAAACGTTACCAAGCTGAGTAATGGCATCGGGAGTCCAACCCGGGCAGTGGAGGTCAAAAGTAATCTCACGGAGATGGCAGGGGAGCTTATCCCAGACTTGGGAGAAACTTTGACGCTGTTCTGGCGTCAACCGCTCGAGGAGAGCAGGCGAAGGCGACGAAGAGGGAGGACTGACGGAACTAAAGTCCCTAGGTCGCTTGGCGACGGGATGGGTCGCTCGTGTAATTATACACAAAGGGGTCAGAGACGGAGTGCGTGGCAGACAAATCAAGGCCACCTGCAGAAACAGGACCAGGGACCCAGTTGTCTGAAGAAGCGGTGGATTCTGAAGCCGCAGTTTCAAGACCATCGCTCAAGCTGTGGCGAGAAACAGCGCTAACAGGCACTCGAAGAAGGGGAGCCGAAGCTGTACCCAGAACGTCGCCGGGTTCGAGAGACGAGATGCCCGCAAGAGGGATTCGTTGGCAGCCATTTTGCACAAAATTTTCCTCGGAAGAAAACATAGCACATTGGGGAAGCATATCCACCAAATAGTTCCCCACAAGGGCAGGCGAGCCATCATTGCGTACCAAATTGACCTGAATGAGGCTATGCTCTGGGTGAAGTTGAACGGAATTTTTGCCTGCATAGCGAAGTTGGTAGCTTCCATCAGTTGCGGACAGATCGTGAGCAAATGAAGTGACACCACAAGTGTCATGTTGGGCAAAAGTAAGCTCACCAAAGACACGGTCACCAGGACGGTTCGCACGCAAAGTGCGGTAAGATCGGTCACTAAACCGCATCCAACCATCTCTGCCGAGGAGCACGTCATGATGCATGACGCCGTCAGGAACAACGTATGCCCAAACAGCAAGAGAGGAGGTAGGAAGGTTCTTGCGGAGAAACTGAACACTCAATAGGACAATGGTCGACGTTTGAAGCGGTGCAGATTTCCCAAACCACCCCAACAGCGAGGTTGGCTGTGTTTGTCAGGCAACGTTGAAGCAGCCGAAGCCGCTTTCATGGATTCCCATGCAGAGGCACTAATAAAAGACTGCGAAGAACCCGTATCCAAAAGAGCGATACACCTAAACTGCACAGAGGCCGAACCGCTGTGGAGGAGGATTCTGGTGGCGAGGTGGTGAAAGAGTCGTCATCGATGGTGACAACACCACCAACCAAATCCGGACCTTGCTCTGGGAGCGAGGAGAAGGACGACGGGATGTATTCTGAAGACACGGCCCAAACGGCGGTGTCGTGATCCGACGGGACATTCGGAGCGTATTGCGAAAATGACGCGAACCGGTCGGTCGATGGAGGGCACGAAGCCGTCCGAAGGCGCTGGTGTGTGGAAGGGTTGACTTCATACACCGCAGAATGAAGGGACGACGTCGGAACGTGGTCGGTCGGAGGCAGTAAATGAGAGCTGCGCTCGGGAGGCAGGGCACGGTGTCGTAAAAGACTGCGTACGTTCTGTAGGGCGGTGCCTAACAGGTTGAGGCCGCGCCATCTAGATGTGCATCCAGCGTCAGGATGATCGGTCTGGAGGCCAATGCCCCAAACACGGTGGTGAGGACACAACGCCATCGACCGTGAAGGTCGACGGTGTCCATTGGCAAAAAGGGGAGGGCGGCTTCCAAAAGAAAACCATGTCTGGAGTACAATACTCGGTAGACGGGTCGAAAACGGCCGAAGCAACAGAGGCCGGAGCGCCCTGAGTGCTGTTAGTCGAAGCTGGAGTCGCAGCCGAAGATGCGGAGTCATGATGGACAGTATGCACATCATTGGGGGTGGTCCTTGTAATAGCGGGAACCGACGAAGAATCGACTTGAGTCGGATTGTTCGTAATTGGGCCAGCAACACTGGGCTGGGTGCACCCCAATTCTAAACCTGAAGAAAACCCTCGTAAGTTGTTCGGCAACAGGTCGCTTTCGCTGGGAACGGCTGCCAAAGCCGGGTTAGTTGAAGAACTGAACCGAGCATGGCGCTCCTGGCTATTCCCCCGTGACAAGGTACGCGAGACCGCCGGCTGTTCGGAGGTCACTTCGGGGGTGTCCTCCCGAAGCGGTGGTGTCAACACTGTCGACGTCGGTCGCAGCAGCCTAGAAGTGGGTGCCGAAGTGCTAGAGGCAACAGAGCGCGTAGGGAGATCATGTACCGAAGTGTTGTTGTCGTTGCTCAAGACCGGAGTGCTAGAGGCAACAGAGCGTGATACACGCGCGCCTTGTGTTGAGCGAGACGAAGTTCCCAAAGATGCTGGAGGCAGTCCGAGGGAAGGAGGCGAACCACCTTCGGGGAGTCGGCCGGTACGTGAATGGCCGCCATTGTGGAAGTTACCAGGCTGGCGTGCGTTGTGAAACCAAAACGCCAGACGAGGGACCAGTTTGAGCATGCGATTGGGGTTGATAGACGGACAGAGCACCAGGGTGGTGGGTGTTGCCAGACGTCTGTTGTGTATGATGATGGTTACCCGCGGAATGTCCCGCGGTTTGACCACCGTGGTGTGATTGTTGGTGGTGATTGTGAGAGGAACTACCACCGTCGGAACGGCGAGGCCCAGCATGGTGTCAACGCGGAGAGGAGGAGGAGGAAGAAGACTGCCGATGGCGTCTACCCTGATTATTGTTGCGGCCATCTGAACCCTTACGCCTGAACGATCGCATGCGACCTTGCCAACGCCTAAAAGCAGCAGAGTCGTCATTGAGGTGACCCAACTCGGGACTTAACAACCCACTAGAGTTCGTGAAGGGAGAAGCACATTGCTTCATGGAACGGTCATCACCCGAGCAGTTCAGGCAGCGGTTTCTGTTCACAGCTGGTTGTTGAGCACAAGAGGACATGGAGTTTTATCTCGGAGGCAGCGGTGGGGGCCCCATTTGAGAACAACCTGTACTCTTGCCATTCCGTAGCAGAGGCGTGGAGGATGATGGAGGATTGGTTTTTGCNCTTAACAACCCACTAGAGTTCGTGAAGGGAGAAGCACATTGCTTCATGGAACGGTCATCACCCGAGCAGTTCAGGCAGCGGTTTCTGTTCACAGCTGGTTGTTGAGCACAAGAGGACATGGAGTTTTATCTCGGAGGCAGCGGTGGGGGCCCCATTTGAGAACAACCTGTACTCTTGCCATTCCGTGGCAGAGGCGTGGAGGATGATGGAGGATTGGT